CAGTCTTAAGTCGCTGGGGTATATTTGTAGCAATAGCCAAAAAAACATTGTATGGGTCAAAATTATCAATTTTTCTTTTATGCCAAAAATCATTAGGATATTAAGTAAAGATCATGTTCCATGAAGATATATTTACGGTAGGAAATTTACAAAATATCAAAACTTAATTTTTGATTAGTAATATGCATTGCTAAGAACTTCATTTGGACAACTTTTCTCAGTATTTTGATTTGTTTGCACCCTCAGATTCCAGTTTTTCAAATAGTCTCAAATTTTGTCCTATCCTAACAAACCACACATCAATGGAAAGCTTATTTATTCAGCTTTTAGATGATGTATAATTCTCAATTTCGAAAAATTGACCCTTATGACTGGTTTTGTGGTCCAGGGTCACAAATATACATTTCATATATTTTATATAGTAGCAATAGTAAACAGTACATACACTCTTTTTCAAAACAGTATAATAAACAGAATGCCCAATAAATGTTTTGAACATTAGCATGCTACAAGGTCACATGGCCATATCATGTTTAGTTAATCAAGTGGAGTCCATGACTGTATTTATTAAGGAAATAAATATTGATACTTTTGCATGTTTAATCCACAATTGAGCAAAAATTACTCAAATAATGATGCATACAAAAGATATCACTTCCAATTCATTCATCATACTGGAAATAGAAGGTCAAATCAAGTGCGTTGCATTGTGGGATTGTGCGTTGCATTGTGCATCGTTGTACAGTTAGACACAGCACATTTTATATTAGGTCATGCGGGGATTCAGTGCATACTGGTAATGATCATATTATGCAGAGTATATACTCAAAACAGTATAATAAACAGAATGCCCAATAAATGTTTTGAACATTAGCATGCTACAAGGTCACATGGCCATATCATGTTTAGTTAATCAAGTGGAGTCCATGACTGTATTTATTAAGGAAATAAATATTGATACTTTTGCATGTTTAATCCACAATTGAGCAAAAATTACTCAAATAATGATGCATACAAAAGATATCACTTCCAATTCATTCATCATACTGGAAATAGAAGGTCAAATCAAGTGCGTTGCATTGTGGGATACAGTTAGACACAGCACATTTTATATTAGGTCATGCGGGGATTCAGTGCATACTGATAATGATCATATTATGCAGAGTATATACACTTTCCATACTGCAGAAACAGCAAAAGTAGTATGCTATTTTGAACATAGCCATTGAGACGCCACATACACTGTTTCATATTAGAGCTTCCAATCTGCTGTACCACGTTAGAAGCAGTGCAGCCTTGACGCAAGACCTTCGAGCAAAAACACAAAAACAAGAGGATTTATCTAGATAGCCTGCGGCACATGGTGTGAGTAGTGATTGTGATAGTTGTGCGAAAGCTATGGCCACCGTTTACTGAAAGAGTTATTGCACTGTTCTCCTCAAGGACATGAGAAAATTACACTGGAACAGGTCTCTCCCGCTCCCAAACGCACAAACACGAGATACACTATATAAATCCACCATATATACGTGACGTGATATATAAACAAAGCGGTAAAAAAGCACTAGCTGAGAAGGCCGTTGTAATGTACACAGTTTGTAAATGACAGTTTTCTTGAACAGTTATTTCTCAAGTCCCAAATCCTATGGACCAGGTTGTTATGAGTTTCTCTCTGCGCTCTCTTCCAGGGACGTAACACTTCAGCCGTCTCTAATCTCTTTTTAATTGGTGTGTTAAAGCCCCACACACAATCATACTCTGTAACACTACGTACTTGTGCACGATTGACAAATGTAACAAATCCCTCACGACTCGACATGCGTTCATAACAATAACACACAAACACCCCGAGGACGCAAAGCCTGTTTGTCACAAGCATATGTGATACTCAAAACTCTGCTAAAGAGCGTGTGAGAGAGAAAGGCAGCCCACATCGGTAACGGTAAGAGTTAGCATTCCTGCGGCTCACTCATTTGAAAAGTACTCCTCGCTGCTCCGACACCGCTCGTTCTTCAGTACCAGAGTCCGTGCTGTTTCCTCTTCGCCCCGGATCTCCCGCGCACCCATGTCGGCTCACTAACCTGAGCACCAAAACAACATCCTCGATCAAATTGAGAATGCTTTAAACCCCCGTCAAATTCACGTGCGCTCCCTCGAAACAGGCACAATGAGGTCACTGACACACAAACACAAATTCCACTTTGGCTCTGACAACGAACACTGTAGCATGTGCACACCTGACCGCATCGCTGTATTACTAACTACGGAGATCCCCTGACGAAAACAGCT